CACACACACGCACACACGCACGCACGGACACACACACACACACGGGCACTTCTCTTGTGCACGGCCCACGGCCCGCACACGGAAACCTCCCTTCCCTTCCTCCCTTCCTCCCCTCCCCCCCCCCCCCCCCCTTCCTCCCCAGTTTCCCCCGAAACCAAAACTAAGCAGGAATTCGTGCGCATGCGACCGCCTCGGCCACCCCTTGGCGACGGCGGCCAAGGAAGGCAGACTCTTCGACCAAGCCCACACCTCACCGCCTGTTTCACCCTCTCCTCGCACCCTTGCACTTGGTTAAACAGTCATCATGGCGGCGCTCGAGGGCATGAACAAGTCGCTCTTTGCTGAGGTTGACCCAGCCCAGGCCGGCGGCCAGGAAGTTACGGTCAAGGTTACGCTGCAGAAGTACGAGCGCGGCAAGCTTGACGAGCGGACCAAGTCGATGCGGTTCAACAACGCCATGTATGTGGACGATGTGTGCAAGCAAGTGGCGGAGGCCTTCCGCATGGACGACTCGCCGCAGTTTGCTTTGTGGAACGACGGCGGCGGCGTGCTCGAGGACTCGTACTTTCTCAAGCGCGAGCAGACGCTCCGCTTCTACGACATTGTCAACCTCGACGAGCTGACGTACAAGTCCAAGATGCGCCCGCTGCGTGTCGAGCTCATGGACGGCTCTATCAAGACGGTCATGATCGACATGTCGGCGCCGACCAAGGACCTCGTGGCGCTGGTGTGCGAGAAGAACGGCATTGCCAACCCGGCCGAGTTTGCCTTCCAGGTCTCGCTCACCGAGGAGCAGAAGGAGGCCGAGGCCAAGCGGCAGAAGGAGGTGGCCAAGATCCGCGCCAAGGCCGGCCTGGACACCTCGTTCTCGGGCACCAAGATTGTGAGCAAGAAGGGCATCGACGAGGACTGGCTTTCGGCCGACCAGACGCTTGCCCAGTGCGGCGTCCTGCCCGAGTACTCGGTCCTGCTCAAGAAAAAGTTCTTCTTCTCGGACGCTTCGGTCGATACCTCGGACCCGCTCACGCTCTCGCTCCTCTTCAACCAGTACCAGGACGACGTTGCCAACGGCAACCTGCCGGTTGCCCGTGATGAGGCCATTCTCCTTGCCGCGCTCTCGGCCCAGGTCACGCTCGGCGACCACGCCCCGGGCAAGCATACGGTTAAGAAGATCGACTTTGGCCAGTGGCTCCCCGAGGAGTACCGCAAGGAGGGCAAGAAGACGTTTAAGGAGGTCCTCGCCGCCCATGCCAAGATCCGCGGGACCAAGGCCGATGCCGCCAAGTTCCGCTTTGTCCAGCTCATCCGCTCGCTCGAGACCTTTGGCATCTCCACTTATCACGTTCAGGAGCCGATCCGCTCCAAGAAGACCAACAAGCTGACCAAGAAGTTCCAGCCGGTCATTCTCGGTGTCTCCAAGTCGCACCTGTACCGGTTCGACCCCATCGAGAAGAAGTCGCTCTCGAAGCCGTTTGCGCTCACCCAGCTCCGCCGCTGGGCCCCGTCCGACACCTCACTCACGCTTGACTTTGGTGACCACGACCAGGAGTACTACACCGTTCTCACCGAGGAGGGCCGCGCCATTGCCGCCCTCATCTCCGGGTACATCGACCTCATTCTCTCGCAGCGCCGCGACCGTGAGAAGGAGATTGAGGACGACCAGCAGACCATCATTATGGAGGAGACTATTGCGCCGTCCAACGCCCACGCCATCACCAAGACCACCTCGGGCGTCTTCCACCGCATGGACTCGTCTTCGGTCCTCGGCGTCGGGTCTGTCGGTGCCAACCGCCTCTCTGCCGCCCGCGGCTCGTCCGCTGTCTCGGTCCGGAAGCTCGACAAGGCGCTCAAGCTCTCGGTCAAGGCTCTCCAGTCCGCAGACCGCCCAGTCGAGCCGTACGCCGGCGATGAGAACATGGGCGAGACCGCGCGCGAGCGTGCCATCAACCTTCAGTCCACCCGCGACATGCTCGACTCAATCCTCGCCGAGATGTCAAGCGTCTCGGGTGACGTTGTCTCCGCCGCCGGCGTCACCTCGGCCGACCGTCTTAAGAAGTACGACCTTCTCGAGTCGTCCGAGCAGCTTGTTGCCCTTGCCGATGACCTTCGCTCGGTCCTTGCATCCCGCTCCATGGCCGACGCCGGTCTCGACGAGCTCGCCGACGGCGTCACCGCCTCGCTCGTCGCCCTCCTTCAGGCTGCCGACCTCGCCGCCAAAGACGTGGCCAAGGGCAACGCCGGCGCCTCACTCGATCAGCTGCTCAAGGCTGCTGGCGACCTCTCTGTCGCCCTGCAGACACTCTCATCGACCAAGCCCATTCCGGGTGTCGACCTTGCCTCGCTCCTAGCTGCCGCCTCGGACCTCAACTCGGCCCTCGACTCGCTCATTGGCGCGCCGCTGACCACCGCCGACCCGGCGCTCTCCAAGCCCATCGACGACGCTCGCTCCGCCGTTGTCGACTACGGTCGTCACACTGTCGCGCTCTCGGCTCTCGCCACCGCGTCGGACGCCTCGGGCATTGCCAAGCTTCGACTCCAGGGCCTTGTTCTCGACGACGCGCTCTCTTCGCTTGTCACCGCGGCTTCGATCGATGGCGTCTCGCCCGTCGACATGCAGGAGCTGCTTCGGCTCGCAGGCCAGGTCTCGGACGCACTCGGTGCCCTCCGCGCCGCCACCGACTCGGACCCGCCGCCGCCGGTCCGCCCAGTTCTTGCGCTCTCGACTCTGGTCGCAGCCGACCGCGCCGCCGCCGCCACCACCGCTGCCCTAGACGCGCTCGACGACGCCGAGAACGACGAGGCGACGGCTGCTGCCACCGCCGCGCTTGCCGGCTCGCTTGCTCCGCTCACGGGTTCGGACCCGACCGCGCCGTTTTCGCTCGCCACCCTCGCCGCCGTCCCGGGCGTCGATGCCGCCGCCCTCGCCTCGCTCATGTCGACTGCTTCGTCGCTCGCCACCTCGCTTGCCTCGCTCACCGCCGAGATGGAGCCGGCCGCCCTCGACGCCGCCGCCGGGACCCTTGGCTCGGGCCTCGAGTCCCTCGCCAAGGACTCGCGCAAGGCCAAGATCCTTGCCGCCCGTGGCGTTGCCGACTCGGCCGCCGCCCTCCTGCCGCTCGCGCAGCGCGAGGCCGAGGCTGAGTCAAACGACCTCGTCAAGGCCGAGCTGGTCGCCTCGTCGGCAGCGCTCTCGGACTCGCTCGGCGCGCTCCAGGCTGCCATCACCAAGTTTGAGGAGACCCGCTCTGACGCCGACCTTGCCGCCGTCACTGCCGCCGCCTTGGCGGTGGGCGCCAAGTCGGACGCGCTCAACGCGCTCCGCGCCTCGCGCCAGGCCCTGCTCATCCTCGCCACAGAGGCCAAGGCTGCCACGCTTGCGGCGTCGAACACCCGGACCGTCCTCGTCACCGTTGACTCGGCCATCGACACCGACGCGCTGCGGACTGCCAAGCGTGCGGCGTCGGGCATGGCCAAGCCAAACGCGGCACTGGGCGACTCGGCTCTCTACTACGAGGCTGAGCCGCATGGCCGCGAGTCGCAGACGGCTCTGCTCGACGCGGTCGCCGCCGCTCTCCCGGCCTACGCCGAGACAAACCTCGCCATTGGTACCCTCACCGCTGCCGGCTTCCACAACCCGGGTGAGGAGTATCTGCTCTCCAAGGCCAAGGCCGAGTCTGACGAGCGGGTCACCGCCCTTGTCAAGGCCTTTAACGCCGCCAAGGCCGCCAACTGGCTCTACGACGTCTCAGCCGCTCTCAAAACCCTCCAGGACAGCGCGTCGTCGGTCGCAGCCGGCATCTCGGCGCTCTCGGCCGGTACCTTTGGTGCCAAGGAAGATGCGCTTGACGCCGACACGCGCGCCTCGCGCGAGACCGTCGCCCGCCGCTCGGCCTCTGACGGTATCGACTCGACCGTCGCTGCCTCGGCGGCGCTCTCGGCCACGCTCCAGCTGCTCTCGGCCGAGTCGCCGGCCGCTGCCGCCTCGGGCCTCGCCGCCGTCGCCTCGCGGACCATTGCTGCCATCCTCGACCTGCTCGCTGTCGGCGAGACCAAGGGCGGACGGACGCGTGCGACGCTCGACGCTGCCGCCGGCCTCGTCTCGGCGCTCATTGCCGAGGTCGAGCTCACCCAGGAAGCCGGCATTGCTGCCCTCAACCGCTATGACGGGCCAACGCCCGACGACGCCGCCGCAGTCCACGACGCCGCTCTCGACGCCGCCGCCGAGCTCCGGGGCTCGCTCCCGGGCTCGCGCGGCTGCGCCGAAGCGCTGGCACACATCCAGAAGGCCGGCAAGCCGGTGCTCGCTGTCCCGCTGCCCGGTGATGCAACTGCATCTGCCGCCGCTGCCGCGGCGACGGCCAAGGCCGCCGCAGACGCAGCAGCACTTGCGTCGGACGCCGATGCTGATGAGCCCGACGCGCCGGCTCCGGCTGTGCCGACTGGCCCCGAGTACGAGTACGAGTTCTACGAGGTGACGGTGATGCTTCCGGCCAAGCCGCCGATCCCAGCCAAGCCGCAGGTGGCGCCGGACCCCAAGGTGGTGCCTGCGCCCTGGGAGGCGTTCTACGACGACTCGCACGGTCGTTACTACTACGTCAGCTCGGAGACGGGGGCGACAACGTGGGAGCAGCCGCCGATGCCGGCGCCGCCCCCGATCCCGGCCAAGCCGACAACGACGACGCAACGCAAGAAGCGGCGGGTGCGGGTGGGCGGCCGGCCGCCGGTCCCTGCCCGCAAGACCAAGCCCAAGGTGCCGCCGGCGCCGTCGCCGGTTGTGGTCGCTGCCGCCGCCGCAGTTGCATCGGCCAATGCGGTTGAGCCGATGGCAGCGGACGGGAGCTCGCCGCCGCTCGACGAAGACGCGTCGGACGCACTCGGCCCGCGCGCTGTCGCGCTTGCCTCGGCACTTCAGGGTCTCAAGCTCGCCTCGACCGGTGGGTCGGGCGCCGAGCTCGACGACGCGGCGTACAAGGTTACGCGCGCGTACCCGCAGTTTGCGGACGCGCTGATGGCCGCGGTCGAGAAGCTGCCCGAGGGCTCTGCGCGGCGAGTCAATGCGTCGCAGGCGGCCAAGGCTGTCACGCGCCTGGCAGCCGCGTCTGTGGTCGCCGCACAGGCGGTCAACGCCGACCGCGGAGACGCCGACGCGGCGCTGGCGCTCGAGCAGACGACCTCGCTCGCCGATGTCCAGCTCCGGGCGCTGATGTCGGCGCTGATGGGCGACGACGCACGCGGACTCGACGACTTTACCTCGCTCCTCGAGGCGACGCAGTCAAAGAACGCCGAGATTGCGCAGATGCGTAAGGTGCTCGACTCGGCGGAGGCGTCGTCAGCCGAGGGCTCTGCCCAGGTCCAGGCGCTCATGTCAGAGATCGAGTCGCTCAACGGCAAGCTCGCCGAGTCCAAGTCAAAGTTTGCGGCGGCCGAGGCCGAGCGGCGCGCGCTGGAGGAGAAGGCGCAGGGCGAGACTCGCCAGCAGATCGAGGGCTACCAGCACGAGATTGCGACGCTCAAGGAGCGCGTGGCCGAGCTCGAGGCCGAGCTCGCCGCGCTCCGCGCTCAGCTCGCCGAGAAGGAGGGTCTCTCGCACGAGAAGCTCAACGAGATGACTGCCGAGCGCGACGATGCGCTCGACGAGGTGGCACGGCTCAAGCAGGAGCTTGCCGACGAGCGGGCGGCGCGGGCCAAGCTCGAGGAGCTCGCGCCCGAGCTCAAGGCGCAGCTCGCCGAGATGCAGGCAAAGCTCGAGGCCGAGAAGATGGCGTTCAAGAAGAAGCTGGCCGAGCAGGCCGACTTTGCGCTCGAGGGCGCAGACGCCAAGCTCATCGAGTTTATCAACTCGACGCTGGCGTCGGACCCGCACGTGGCGTCGCTGCTTCCGATGAACCCGCGGGCGGTGTCGGTGGCCACTGCCGCTGCCGATGGCGTCCTCCTCTGCAAGTACCTCAACGCAATGATGCCGGGCTCGGTCGACGAGCGTGTCATCAACTTCAACATCTCGGACGAGGACGACGTGCTGATGAACCAAAGCCTGGTCATCAACACTGCCCGCGCCATTGGCTGCCCGGCGCTCAACGTCACACCCAAGGCGCTCTACACCGGCAAGGTCCCGCAGATTCTCTCGCTCCTGTGGGACATCACCCGTGCCGGTCTGCTTGCCGTCGTCAACGTTGTCCGCCACCCGGAGCTGTTTGAGCTTCAGGCCAGCGACGAGGAGGTTGCGGCGTTTTCTCGCCTCCCGCCCGAGGTCGTCCTTGTCCGCTGGGTCAACCACCACGCGGTGGCGCGCGGCGCGCCGGCCATTGACTCGTTTGCCGACCTCGCGGACGGCGTGGCGCTCGTCCACCTGCTCAACGCGCTCGAGCCGAGCACCGGGCTCGGCGCGCTGGCACAGGGCGATCCGGAGGCGCGCGCCGGCGTTCTCCTCCAGGCCGCGTCTGGCATTGTCGGCAACTTTTCGTGGGTCACCCCCGCCGACGTGGCCGGTGGCAACGTCCGGCTGCTGCTCTTCTTTGTGGCGTCGCTCTTCTCGGCCCGCACTGGGCTCACCCTCACCGAGGAGATGGAGCTTGCCCTCGGCGACTTTGACGAGGCCGAGCTGCAGGGCACCGCCGAGGAGCGGGCATACCTGGCGTGGATTGGTGCCAAGGGCGTGGAGGATGTCCACGACCTCAAGCGCGACTTTATGGATGGCATCAAGATGCTTGAGCTCGAGGACAAGGTCGAGCCGGGCATTGTCACCTGGGACCGCGTCAACCGGGCCAAGGACGGCAAGTCACTCCACGTGGTCCGCAAGGTCGAGAACGCGAACCTCGCTGTGACTCTGGGCCGCGACCTCGGCCTTGTCCTTGTCGGCATCGACGGTAAGGACCTCGTCGACGGCTCGCAGAAGCTCACCATGGCGGTTATCTGGCAGCTCCTCCGATACGACCTCCTTCGCTCCATCTCGTCGCTCTCGTACGGTGGGCGCGCCGTCTCGGAGCAGGACGTCTGGCAGTGGGCCGTCTCCAAGGTCCGCGCGTCGGGCAAGCCCGTCGACGTCAAGTCGTTCAAGGACCGCTCGCTCTCCTCGGGTCTCTTCCTCATCGACCTTCTCGCCGCCTGCAACCCGCGCGCTATCGACTACTCGATGGTCGAGCCCGGCCTCACCCCGGAAGAGAAGGAGGCCAACGCCAAGCTCGTCCTGGGCTCGGCCCGTCGCCTCGGAGCCTCGCACTACCTCGTCCCCGAGCACATCACTTCGGTCGACCCGAAGATGCTCCTTATGCTCGTCGGTACCCTCATGGAGGCCACGGCCAAGCGCAAGGGCAAGAAGAAGTAAGGGACGCCCCAATCCCCCCCCCCCCCCCCCCCCCTCTCCCCCCTTCCTCTCCGTTTTATCCCCTCAAGTCTTTGAAACAACATCTTTGCACAACAAGCCATGTGGTCCATGCATGTGGATGTGAGGTTAAGAGGCGAGCTTGTGATGTGATCTGCAGCTTGTGTGCAGGACCAGTTTTCGAGTCGCCCCATGCCACCAACCGCCACCACCGCTGCCACTGCTGCTGCCATTCCCCACACCGCCCTACCCCCACCAACCTCCATACACCCCACGCACACACAACAACACACATACGCATACACAGTCTCTCCCTTTCTCTCTTGCTCTCCCCCGCACCATACGCACCACCATGAGCTCAGAGCTCCAACCCACACCACCGCGGTCGTCGTCGCAGGCAACATCTCGTTCACTCGGACCGCCACCGCCGCCTCGACCGCCATCGCCGCCATCAGCCGAGTCACTGGCGACGGCTGCGCGGACGCTCTCTGCGCGTCTCGATCAGGAGCGGCATGCCAAACGCTCGGCGCTGGCCACCAACGTCCGGCTGCTTGCACGCATTACCGAACTGGAGAAGTCGCTGGCGGCAGCAGAGTCGACGGTGCCGCCGGCGGTGGCCTCGGAGCTGGCCGAGACGGCAGCCATGGCGCGGCGGGAGGCTGCGGCGCGGGCACAGGCACAGGCTGAAGTCAAAGCACAGGCAAAGAAAATTGCGGTGACGGCGGCAATGGTGGAGAGGCTGGAGCGGAAGCTCGATGCCACCCGCAAGGCCTACAACACACTCGCCAACTCGGGCAGGACGCCGGGCCGGGCGGGAGGTAGGAGTCGGGCTCGTAGAGCTGGTAAGACGGCCGAAGGTAGGCCAGCAGCAGCGTCACCGCGGGCTGCAGCCATTCGGGCTCGGCTCGCGGCGAATCGAGCCAAGGCGGGAAGCGATGGTGATCGCGCTGGCGCTGATGCTGGGAATGCCACCGACGACGCCGGGACTGTCTTTCTCACCGCCGTCCCGCCTCCAGCCGGAAATTCTGCCACCCCAGTCAGTTCGGCAAGCGCGAACGGAGTGTCGCCTGCCAGTCGCCAGGCTGACGTCTCATCGCCGCAGCACCTTGCGTTCCTGCTTGATCGCGAGGCCGCGGCGCGGGCGCGCGACAAGGAGCTCATTGCGTCGCTGCGGGCGTCGCGGCGCGAGGCGCAGCGTGAGGCCGCTGCGCTCCGGACCAAGCTGGCGCTACTTGCGGGCTCGCCGCTGTTTTCCAAGTATCTGGCAGCCATCTCACAGTCTGTCCTCGCACGGGCCGCTGACGCGCCTACGCCAGCCGACGCCGATGCGCTGCTGGAGGGACTGCTAGACCAGCTCGACGCGGCGTCAAGGCTGGTGGCGAGTGCAATGGGTGGGCGGTGAGCGCTGAGCAGCAGAGTTTAGAGCGAGAACGGCGAGAGCGGCGGGTGCTCCTCGGCGTAGATAGTGTCCCAGAAGTCGCAGTGGGCCGAGTGGAGGCCGGTCTGAGTGGAGACTGGGATGTTGAACTCGATGTTGGTGTCAGATGAGGCGTTGTAAGCCGGCCATGCGACGGGGACAGTGGTGGGCGAGTTCGGGTTGTGGCTGGCGACCATGTTGGACCAGTACGAGGCCATCTGGTTGGCGAGCTTCTCCTCGCCGGGGCCGATGGCGGCGACGACGACGTCCCAGGCACCGACGAGATCTGAGCCGTGGCAGACGCCGATGGATGGGTCAAAGAGCTGAATAAGGAGCCAGGTGTGCGTGAAAAAGTAGGTGTGAGTGGTGCCGCCGTGGCCGGTGATCCAGCGGGCGGCGCGGCGGACCGGGCAGGTCATGGCGGCGTCGCCAAAGAGGGCAGAGGCGCGGACAAAGGCCGAGCTGTAGTCGGACTCGGGGTAGGCGGCAAGAACGCGGGAGGCGGTCTCTGCGCCAAACTGAAAGTTGGCCCACTTGACAAGGTCGGCGGTCGACGATGACGGCTTGAGCGGGACAAAGAGTGTGCCCTCATCGAGGTTCGAGCCAAGCATGACGGGCACGTTGTGGAAGGAACCGTTGCGGACAAGCTGCGGCGGAATGTCGAGAAGCTGGACGCCGTCAACGACCGGGGTGAACGAGACGAGCTCGCCGGGCAAATTCTCCATGTGCTTGACGAGGGTCTCCATCGGCTGGGCGCGCATGCAGGCGAGCACGTCGCCGGCGGAGCAGCCGACGGCGGTGACGACGCGGTCCCAGTGGGCCTCGGCCATGTCGAGTGAGCGGGCGGTCCAGTTGGCCGGCGGGCCCGAGTTCATGATGGCGGCGTGGAAGTACGGCCACGACTTGGGCGAGACCAGGTGGGTGGAGACCGAGCCGGCGCCAGCCGACTCGCCCCAGATGGTCACCTTGTTGGGGTCGCCGCCAAAGGCCGCGATGTTCTTCTGGACCCACATGAGCGCCAGGCGCTGGTCCTGCAGCCCAGTGTTGCCCGTTGAGCCGTCCGGGTCCTCCTTGGCGAGCAGCGGCGAGGCGAGCCAGCCAAACGGCCCGAGCCGGTAGTTGGTGGTCACGATGATGGCCTTGTTTGGGAACGCGTTGTTCCAGTAGATGCCGTTGTAGATACCGTCGCCGGTGAGGCCGCCGATGTCGCCGTACTCCCACGAGCCGCCGTAAAAGTAGACCACGACCGGCAGCGGCGTCGACGGCGTCTCAACGGGGGCATACACATCGAGGTAGAGGCAGTCCTCCGAGACGTTGGCAAACTGGTCCAGTCCCGTCGACGGCTGCGGGCACGCCGGCCCGTTGAGCTTGGTCGACAGCACGCCGGTCCACGGCTTGGCAGGCACCGGCTTGCGGAACCGGAGCTCGCCGAGCGGCGGGACGGCAAACGGCACGCCGAGGAACTGACGCATGTTGGGGCCGATCTGGACGCCTGTGGGTGTTGTTGGAGGGTGTCACATACGCATCAGCAGCGGAAGGAGTAGTGGTGGTGGTGATGGTGGTGGTAGTAGCAGCAGTTTCGCCAGCAACGACAGCACAGGTTAACCACCGCAAACGACAGCGACGACGACGGCAGCCACGAGCAAAGCCAGCACCGTCCGAGCCAGACACAGCCGACAGTAGCGATAGCAGATATAATGACCAGAGACCGATGTGTTTCCGTTCATAAACACAAAGCCATGTCCATGCCCATGTCCATATCCATGCCCATGCCCATGTATATGTCACCTGTGAGTCACGTGCGCACCCCCCACGCCCCCCCCCC